TGTGTATGTGTGTGTGTGTGTGGTGGGTTGGGGGGGGAAGGTGTAAAAACTCATCATCACCTTACTACTACTATTCTGTACATCATTCTCTGCGACTCTTCGCTCAACGCCCCTCCTGACTTTTCCTTTTTACCTCTTGCTCTTACTGAATTCCAATCCAATAATTTCCTTGCTTTTCAGATGCCTGCGCGTTTGAGGTATAAAACCTAATCCCTTTCTTTTCGCGTTTTGTTCACGTTCCCGACTTGTCACTCACCAACGTTATTTCCCCTGTGCTGTTTTTTGTCTGTCTTGTTTTCTCGTTCCAAACGCTAAATGGTCTTTTGTTGTGTTGATGCGTTTCTGTTTACCCAGAAAAACAACCAAACAAAAACAAAAACAAAATAAAACAAACAGCCATAGTGTTTCACTGATCACGCACTTCAGGGCAACAACGATCGATGTGTAGAGCCTGGAGACTCCATGAGCAGCTGGTCAGGAGCTGAAGACCTTCCTGTATCCTATCGATCTCTGACTCCAGCTTTGCTTCAGCCGATTTATCTCCCCATTTCTAAATCATGGTGATTTTCCTCACTGCAGTCTTTACTTTCTGAAGTCTGTGGTACACTTATACTTTTATTGTAACTGTTTGACACTCTTTTCGACGCTGAGTAAGGTAATCTTGTAGGTGGGGCTTCTGAATGTAACAAATCCCCATATGAAAGACTCGAAAGCTCCAAAAACACAGCATAATTTCAAAAATATCCTTTAGGATTTAGAATGAGAAACATAAGCATTGTAGTCCAGTTCAAAGCGGTCGAAGTAACAGGGCGATATGCATAATTCTTAATATTCTTCTCGAATTGTTAAAGTTACAATGTGAAATGCGTCATCCTTGAGGAGACACTGCGAGCTGTGCAGGGATATTCGTTCTGTATACAGCGTTGCCGCAGAGAGCAGCGTTTTAATTTCTAGGACTAGGAGAAATCCTATCTTTCGAAAGCAACCCAGACCAACAATACCTGAAAAGAGGCGGTCTTCGACCATGCCTGTCAAGGCCAGCTCTAGCTGAGAGTCTTGTAACGTCCAAGCAGAAAGACCGAAGTACATGAAATTATTTGTAGGCACTTGATAAAACAATCTCCCCATTTGGTATTCCAACTCAGGTCTTCTGCGAGCGACGGTAAAGCGTCTAACCACTACATAAGAGACGCCAGTGGTTCGTCCGAGATCTAAAAAGACGTGCACATACTGGACGAGGGTGTGCACTTGCAGAGTCGACAGAATATGCTGCTCCTGCCTATTCTGCTTTGAGTTGGTAATGTCGTAGGCTGGCATCCACTGTACAGTCACCACATAATAGTAATAATGTTAAGTTGTAGTGCTCGGCGGAACGTTCGACAGCAAGCGTGTCCCACGGGTCGAAATCTAATTTGAGTATTTTAACTGTTTATTAAGAAAGGAGCGATCAGCAGCTGACCAAAGCCAGTGTTTCGGTAAATTTCGAACTTTCATACACAAACGAGAAATACAGATTGGCATAGAGTCTAGATCTACATGTTTTTCATGGTGTGTTTGTTTGTCTTTTTAATTTTCAGATTAAAAAAAAACCCGTAATTGAAAAATATGTATGGATAATGAAGTTATGCTTCTTTTTTAAAGTACCACCAGCCCCCCCCCCCTTCCTGCGTTGTTGAATGACCAGAATACCCGCCCTCAATGATTTTTTTAAAAATGGCGTCATAGTGTCTTTGGGCCGCTTTGTCCGTCCTCTCCTTTAGCAGTGCTTCGCTCCTCATAATTCACGGCAGTGAAGCTGCGTGGAAATACTGTTATTCTTGGAAGTGAGAGGAAAATAATTCAGACCCCAGCCAAGCACGAACTTCTTACTCCTGCGCGATAGATCAAGTTAGCTTCCGTTAGCACAGTTGTCGGAAGCCTGTGATTTTAACTTGATTTATCTGTTTCCCTCCTGTTTACTTGGCTTCTTTCACTCGTGAGTTTGGCTTCTGAGTCAAAATTTAACATGGAGAGTGCCATCGTGTTTGAACTGGTTTTACTTTCTTTTTTTTTTATAACTTAAAAGAAATTATGCATATGATACCTAACTTGGTTGTGTTATGACCAAAAATGTCCGTATCGTTAAAAATAATAATTAAAAAAAACAACACAAAATAAAAAACCAACAAACAAACCAAATACCAAAATAAAAGCAAGCAAATAAATCCACAGCAAGTTTTGGACTGTGCTGTGAAAAGGTGAAAAACAGAACGATATCGTGGGATTGTTGATGCTGCTTGCTTGAAGTACATGTAAGTTAGAACATAATTACGTCGCTGGTCAACTTGACGTAAAGTTTTAACTTTGTCAAATTTAAAGTCCATTAAACCCCACTACAACAAATTACCGACGACAGCCTACGACAATATACGAAAACGACAGG